TCAATTTTTATTATCAAGAAAAAGTGATGTTCATTATAAGTCTTTCATTAGGACACAAGTGATTATGGTAGAAAATTGGTTTTCCATCCAACAGCTGGTACACGTTTTGTTTTGTGACACGGTTGCAATGTCCACAACGTCACCGCACTCCTCCCATGTCCTCCCCATGTGTCCCATTTCCCTTTCTCCTTCTTCCTCTCCCTTCCTGCCTCCTGACCTTTATCTCTGGGCAAAGGCTGCCCTTTTGCCCTGGGTGATTGATTGTTCTAACGGGCATGCTTCTCGGGTGGTGGTGTTCCTCTTACAGTCCTGTCTACTGTTTGGCTGAAGGTTTAGCCACAAGGGTGGGTTCAGTTCCAGCACTGAAGAGTGGCTGAGCGCCACAGTCTCAGGGGTTCCACCAGTCTCTATCAGACCAGTAGGCCTGGTAAGTTCTTAAGATCTTGAGTTTTATTCCACATTGCTCACCAACTCCATCCAGGACCTCCTATTTGATTCCTTTCAGAGCAGTCAGCAATGGGAGCTGGGCACCATCTACTTCTGGTCTCAGGGTTGTGGAAGCTGAGGTCTTTCCACATTTTCTTTAGCCTTTTTGATTGTAAAGAGAATATTTGCACTGGGCAGTGAATAAATTAAAGGTTTAATTATTCTCCCATTGGTTCATTATTTTGCTCTCTCAATAAATATTTTCTTTCCCCTCTAGTGAACCAGCTGCTGGGCCAGTTATGGTATCAGTGAACATCAGTCAGTCAACTGCTCAGCCCCTAGTCATGGTCTTGTACGCCTAGTTGGGAACATCTCTTGGGGGCAAGGGAGACTTCCAACTTGCCTCGAACCATGCTATTCTTCACGTCTTATCTTCTACCCTGGGCTCCTGGTAGATGGAATTATTTCCCCATCAGCCACAGGCCTCAGGGAGAGGCCTGAGACATAATCAGAGTTAATTAAAATGTGACATGCTGGTTCGCCAGTGTCCTAGATTTAAGCATCATAATGGAGTCAGCCTTTTTAAAAAAAAAAAAAAAAATTATTGTGATTTGGGTGAAAGAAAAAAAAAAAAAAAAAAATTATTGTGATTTGGGTGAAAGTTTACAGAGCAAATTCCTTTTCCATACAGCAGCTCACATGCATTTTGTCTCATGACATTGACTGCAGTGTAACAGCTCTCTTCCCCCTTCCACCCTGTAGTTACTTCTTCCTGGTCCTTCCCTCCATGCACTCCTGCCACCCCTCCCAGCTGTCGGTCTCCCTGTGCAAACACTGCCCTTCTGTTTTCCCATAACTGAGCGGTCCAGGGAGTGTATCTACCTGCTGTAAATGTTCACCCTATATGCCACTCCTCAGAAGGAAGGTTGGGCAATCCTACTTCTGTAGTGATACTGCCTCGGAAACCCAAGGAGGGGTCACTATGAGTCTGGGCCGACTCGATGGCACATAACAACAATAACAAATATGCCTGTCTATTGTTTGGCTGGAAGCCATGGAGTGAGTTCAATTCCAGACCTGAAAGGCAGTTAGAGGCCATGGTCTCAGGAGTCTTACCAGTCTCTATCAGACCGGTAAATCTGGCCTTTTTTTTTTTTTAATGATTTTGAGTTTTGTCCCACATTGTTATCCCTCTCTATGCAGGATCTCCTGCGTCTATCCCCCTCCAAGTGGTTGACAATGGTAGCCAGGCCCCATCTAGTTCTTCTGGTCTCATGGTCATATAGGCTAAGGTACATGGTGTACCAGTCGCTTGGACTAATTGTTTCCATGCGTCTTTGGTTTTCTTCGTTCTTCTTTGCTCTGGGTGAGAGACCCATTGTTGCATCTAGATGGTCAGTTGCAAGCTCTTAAGACACTACTCGACAAAATAAGATATAGAACAATGTTTTGTGTAGTATGTTATGCCAATTGATCTTGATGTCCCCTGCAACCATGGTCACCAGCCCACAGGTCCAAATACTTGCTCTTTCTGTGTAGCTGTCTATGGCCAAGAAGGTATCATAACTTTGCCCCTTGCCAGCTCTGTCATGAATTTGGACATTCTTACAGCACATACAAAGATGCATGTAGCAATATCGTCTGCCAATCTTATATATGGTCATGGGTATATTCCCTTTTGCCCAAACATACCTGATCATCCAGCCTGTCTACCCATCTATTTCCCTGTGGATTGATATCTGTTATCACTGATAATGCAGTATTGTATACATGAAAGGGTTTATCTTTATTGTCTGTACGTCTTGTGTACCTCTCTGTGTCTTCTTTTTCCTTAGTGTTATTGTGTTAGTCACTCACTTTTGGTACATTGCCTTCCCCTTCACCCAAATCAATACTTTTCTCTACCTATGTAGCAGTGTTCCCTCCCCTCCCATCCCATCCCTGGTGACCAAGAAAGAAAGCTTCCTTCCATACAGAAACCTTTCCTTGGAAGTCAGCCTCCTCTTGATACTGGCAGAGCAGGTGTGTTCCCAGCACAGGGTGGACACTCACATTTGAAGTCGGAGACAGACATACATGGTCAAATGTTGGACAGTGGTTAAGTCTGTGTGCTGAGTCCACACAATAGAATCTAGAGAGCCCCAGAGGGCTTGTGCCTCAGCCACAAGCCCCACGGGAAGGTGGACTCAGACCAACACTGCCCCTCACCAAGTCCAGAACCTGTGTGGTCCATCACTGGGGGCAAAGCCATTGCTAAGGCTTCTGAGAGCCATGGCCAGTCAAGCCTAGCAGAGGACGGAACCCAGCGTAAACCCAGAGAAAGACTCAAGGGAGACAGGGTTTGGGTAGTGGAATTCCCACAGCACTCCTCTTAGAAACACCACACTTTTCCTAAGAGAAGCCCACACTGTCTTATCCTCATGGTTGGGTCCCTTAGCTACCTCCTCTCAATGTGTTAGCTGGTCTCCCCTTCCACAGCCCAGATACGTCAGCAGAGAGCCAGTGTGAAGTCCCACAACTCAGGAGAACCTCTCAAATGGAAGGGGAGTGTTAAATGCTGCTGAACAAACTCAGGGTTTACAACGGGTCACTGACCCAGGCCCAGATACCGGTCCTGGCGTTTGGGGCCCCTCCTCCTAGTGTGTGCACTGCGCCAACAGAACACTCGCCGAGGCAGCCCTTGGTTCCCTGTTCAAGAAGACAATGGAAGAAGTAGGTCACTCTGGGCTTCACACAGTCCATCAGCACATGTGGCTGGAAGACAGCCCTCATCACCAACACACACACACACGTGTCAAACCAGCAGGAGAAGCGCCTTCCAGCTTCCATCATGAACCTCTCCACTCTGGGCTGGTTCATGGAAAATGTGTCCCGTGTCCCCCGGCTGGGCCTCACCAAGGTGGCCTCTTGGCTGCTGTGTTTTGCAGTTCTTATACAGTCCGTAAAGCGGATGGTTGTTCTTGAGGGCTTGTAACACTGCCTGTCACAAAATAGGTGGCAATAAAACCCGCAGAGGTGATAGCATGCCCGAGCCTAGGTGGGCCGAGCAGCTGTCCCCTGGGAGGCTGTGGGATGGACGTCACTGATATGTTCTTGTGGCCTAACGTAGACTTGGACCACAGGTGGCACCCTGGCTCTGCCTGACTTGATGGGGAGGCAAGAGTGTGGCCTTAGCAGCTAGGATGGGTCGGCTCGAGGCATTGGGGTCTCTGGAATAAACCAGGTTTAACCATGATTCTGAAGGTTTGTTTTGGAAACTCACACCCCAAACACAGCCCCTAACTCCAGGGTCCTGCACTCCATGACCCACACACACAGCCCCTTACTCCATGGTCCTGAACCTCACACCCCAGATACATGGCCTCTCACTCCACTAAAACAGTTAAGAGTCCCCTGAACCAAAAACCAAACCAAAGCAAGCCCTGGTATGGAGTGGACACCGATTCCTGGTGACCCCGTGGGTTACAGGGTAGACCCGTGCCCCCTAGGTGTTCTCAGCCGTAAACGTCACAGCATATTACCGGCCCCTCCACCAAGGCATTGCTGGGAAGTGTGTGGCTGCTGTGGTGGATTGAATTATTTCCCCAAAAGTGTGCTGTGAATCCTAGCCCGTCTTGCAGATGTAAGCCATTTGGGAATAGGCGTTTCTTTGTTCTGTTAATGAGCCATGTCCGTGTAGGGTGTGTCTTGAACCCCTCGCCTGTGAGGTACAAGACACATAGGTTAGGCAGAGAAGGAGCTCAGGTGGGGGGTGAGAGCTGCCACTGACGTGAAGGCCACCAAGGAGCCCGGAGCAGAAGCTGAGAGGGCACAGGGCCCTTCCCCCAGCGCCACCAGAGAGAGGGCTTCCCTGGCGCCGGGGCCTTGAATTCAGGCGTCCGGCCTCCTGACCTGTGAGAAATCAGACTTCTGACTGTTGGAGGCCCCCTGCGGCGCTTCTGTCCCAGCAGGGCTGGAGACCTGAGCCGGCTGCTAACCAGGGGGTGCTGCTCTGAACCCCAGCGGCTGTGGCAGGAGGACGTGGCCGCCTGCCTGTGAGGACCACAGCCAGGAAAACCCTTGGACAGTTCTGCTCCGTCACCCGGGTCACCAGCAGTCGGACCCAACTCGCAGCAGCTAAAGACAGCAACCGAGCCCAGGAGGTCCTGGGAAGAAGCGGCGTTCCCCCCCCCCCCCCCCGAGGACCCACCTGCCTCTTGTCACGCTGCACCCCCAGCAGCAGCTCATGGATGGAAAGGACCAAATGATCACCCGGAGCCAGAGGGAAGATGCTGACGAGCCCTCAGACTCTGCCCTGGGCCCAACACTGTCGTCACAGAAACACCACAGTGAGTGGCTACAAGCCGGAGCTCTATTTCCCACAGCTCATGGGGCTGAAAGTCCCCATCAGGGTCTCTGCCCTGCCAGTTCCCTTCTTGTCAGCAGGCCTGGGCATTCCTTGGATCCTCGGCTTGTGGACAGTTCCCACATGGCATGTGTCTCCCCCTGTGTCCCCTTGTGTCCATCCTGCCCTTTCTGTACCCCGGAAGGGCTGAAGGTCAGGGCCACCACACCCTGGCTTGTCTCGCCAACAGAAAGAAAACTCCATTCCAGACAAGATCACATCCCAGCGTAAAGGTGAGGGGGCCAGGCACACATCTGGGGACATGGGGCAGCCCACGGCAGGCCCCTCTTCTGATGGAGCCCCTGCAGCTCTCAGTGGTGATGACACCCCACCTTTGTGAGGAAGTAGGGCTCTGCATCACTAAGCAACCAGCATGCCGGTCCCAGGCCACCCTGTTTCCATGGGGCCATACAGATGCTAAGCAGAGACACCATGAAAGGCACTCTTGGGACCAGCATCTGACGAGACGGTCTTTCCTGCCTCCCTTACGTCAAGACAAGTGCGAGGACAAGTATATGGGAACCCCTCCCCCAACCAGAGTGAGCCTGTCATCCCAAGAGGGGCCCCTTCCAGAGGAAAGAGGGTCCGGGACCTGTGGGAACAGTAAGTATGTCTCTGATGACAGGTTCGTTCATACCCCACCTTGTTGTGGATTTGGAGGGGAAGGCACCCCACCAGACCTGGGCTGTGTTACTTCCACACATTTTCCAACCCCTAAAATGTGAATCAAGTGCCCACAGTGTGCTGGTGTTAGCTGTGTCCACCAAACACACAGACCTCTCTGTGACTAATGCCATCTGAGGGGGAGCCTAACATTTAAACACCCCATAGTCATTGTTGTTGTTAGGTGCCATTGAGTTGACTCCAACTCACAGCGACCCTGTGTACAACAGAACGACACACTGCCTGGCCCTGCACCACCCTTACCATCCTTGCTATGTGTGAGCCTGTCATTGCAGCCACTGTGTCAACCCCCTTATTGAGGTCTTCCACTTTTTCACTGATCCCTGCTTTACCAAGTATGATGTCCTTTTCTAGGGACGGTCCCTCCTGAAAACATGCCCAAAGTAGGTGAAACACAGTCTGGCCATTCTCACTTCCAAGGAGCAATCCAGCTGCACCTCTTCCAGGACAGATGTGTTGGCTCCTCTGGAAGTCCAGGGTACTGTCAGCATTCTTCACCAGCACCACAACTCAGAAACACCGACTCCTCTTTGGTCTTCTTTATCCAGCTCTCACATGCATGTGAGGTGATTGAAAATACCACGGCTTGGGTTAGGGGCGCCTCAGTCTTCAAGGAGACATCTTTGCTCTTCTGCGCTTGAAAGACGTCTTCTGCAGCAGATCTGCCCAGTTCTGCACAACATCTGATTTCCTGACTGCTTCTTCCATGAGTGTTGACTGTGCATCCAAGTAAAATGAAATCTTTGACAACATCAATCATTCCTCTATTTACTATGATGTTGCTTATTGGTCCAGTTGTAAGGATTTTCATTTTCTTTATGTTGAGGTATAATCCATACTGCAGACTGTAGTCTTTGATCTTCATCAGTAAGTGCTTCAAGTCCTTTTCACTTTCAGCAACCAAGGTTGTGTCATCTGCATATCACAGGCTGGTAATGAGTCTTCCTCCAAACCTGATGCCACCTTCTTCTTCATAAAGTCCAGTTTCTCAGATTATTTGCTCAGCATAGAGACTGAATAAGTATGGTGAAAGGATACAACCCTGACACATACCCCTCTTGATTTTAAACCATGCAGTGTCCCCTTGTTCTATTTGAATAACAGCCTCCTAGTCTATGTATAGGTTCCTCATGAGCACAATTAAGTGTTCTGGAATTCCCATTCTTGTCAATGTTACCTGTAATTTGTTATGATCCACACAGTCTAATGCTTTTGCACAGTCAATAAA